CTTTAGATAGTAGATAAGGATTGAATCTTGATTTTTGTCTTCTGGGACAGTCTCTGCATTTAATCAGTTTATGTAGATCATTCAGATTTAAAGTGGTAGTTGCTGCAGTTGGATTAATGTCTACCGTGTTTGTAACTGCTTTCTCTTTGTTAGTTTGTTCTTAGTTTCTTTTATTTCTACTCTTCTGCTTTCTTTGGTTTTTAATTGAATATTTGATGATTCTGTTTACCTCTTTTTTTGATCATACCAGTTATGTATTACTTTTAGCTGTTGCCCTAGATTTTGCAATATACATTTTTAACTACTCTAAGTCTGTCTTAAAATAACAAAACACTACTTCACCAGTAGTGTAAGTACTCTACAACAGGTCATTCCTAATCTTACCCTCATGTCCCTTGTAACACTACTGCCATTGATTTTATTTATTCACGTGCTATGGATACCCAATGTATTTTTGTCACTCTCTAAACAAATAGTTATTTTGGATAAATTAAGAGTAAGGGAAATAAAAGACTTTATCTGCATTTATTTCTTTTCCAGTGCTATTTTTTAAAATGTAGATACAGATTTCTGATCTATATCATTTTTCTTCTCCATTGGCTTTAAAAATATTTTTTCTGGGCAGATCTGCTAGCTTTAAATATCCATTTTTGTTTCTGAGAAAGGATTTATTTCTTTAATTTTTGAAAAATATTTCTGGACATAGAGTTCTAAATTGCTGGGTGTTTTTCTTCCAACATTTTAAATATTTTACTCTCCTCTCTTTTTCCTTGCATGGTTTTGACTTGAGGTCTGCTGTGATTCTTAACTTTTTTGCTGTGTAGATAGGGTGGTTTTTGTTACCTCTCTGGCTTCTTTCAACACCTTCCCTTTGTCTTTTGTTTTCTGCAATTTGACCATGGTATGCCTAATGCAGATTTTTTTTTTTTGTATCTATTTTCCCTGATGTTCTTTGTAGGCCTGTAGTTTGATGCCTCTTGTTAATTTTGGAAAGTCTTGCAGGACATCTGGTTCTGTCCAAGACATTAATAAAACATTCAGTCCACACCGAAAGGTCCTTAATATTTAATCACATTTGGTCCTGTCCAGAATGTCCATGGAGATACTTGATTCACCCAAAAAGGTCCCTAATGATTGGTTCTTTCCAAAACCATTTGGCATGGGCCTACTATGCTCATGGATGTTTTAGATAGGACCAAACTTCAAGGCCTTTTTCACGTGGAGCAGTATGTCTTATTGAAGTGGGAGGAAAGAGGACAGAGCACAACCACTGAAGGAATGACACAGCAGTTGAGGACAGGACAAACTGGTTAGAACCAAGACAGCGGAAGATTTGACTTCCAGTAGACCTTGAGCCTCATGGAGCACCCACAGATGCCATGACAGTTCCTAGGCTGACCATAAAAGGTCAAAAATGGTGCGGGGGGCATTTCCTGGAAATCCTCGCCCCCTCCTCAAAGTAGTTGGAGTAATCCTCCCATTTGCATATGAAATTTCTGAGCCCATAAAACCTAACAACTCCATACCTCCTGGTCGTTCTCTGGCTCTGTCACTCTCTGTCACACTCATCTTCTGAGATGGCCTGCACTCTGTCTGTGGAGTGTGTGTCTACTTTTACTTTAAACACCCCACACCTCTCAGCTTCTCTCCCTCTCCCCTTTCTGAGATGGCCCACATTCTGCCTATGGAGTGCATATCTCCTAAGCCATTTTCCCTTCCGAGAGAGACAGACTGCACTCTGTCCAGGGACTGTGTATCTCTCTAAATAAACTTACTTTCACTTTACCATGCCTTCTTGCTCTTGAATTCTTTCCTGTGCGAGCCAAGAACCTATTTCCCCCAACATCTTTGGCTCAGCCAGCCAGGAGGATTTGTCAGTTCTCAGCCTCTCACCTCCCTTGTGCTTGAGAGGCCCGTGTCTCTGTCTCATGCAAGAGCACCGCGCGCACATCTCCTCTCTGCACCCCTAGCTCATTCTTACTTTTCACCTTACTCTACTGGAAGTGGGGAAAAGAAATTTGCTGGGCATTTCCCAACCATGCAGCTGGGTCTTGCATTTCTCATTGTTGCATATGTGTGGGGATTGTTAGGAAATGTCAGGAGAGGTTACCAGCCAGTCTCACAGGCAGCTAAGGACCCGAACCATAGGAGCTTTACTTAGACTGTAAGGGTTTTCGCCATGGCCATGGCCACTGAGATCCCTGTGGGAGCTCCTTTGCAACGCAAGCAGTCTGTGTGCATACTCGGGTGTTGGGAGAGGGGACGTCTCTGGGCCATGTTGTTGGGCTGCCATCTTGTAGGGGCTGCCATCCTTTGCCGCCATGTGGTGTCTCTGTACATCTGGGTCCATCCATGCCCCACCCTCGCCTCACCCTGTCGGGGCAGGGCAGCTCAAGGTAGCTCACACCAAAGCTGGGTTGAGCACATGACTACACCTCAGGGTATATGTCCCAGAGGTGACCCTCATCCACTGCTGCCCTGCTTACTTCTCCAGGGTTGCACAGCTGGGGGTATCCTCTCAGAGTACCAGGTCCTCCATCCCGCTAAGTGCTGTCACAGTGTGCCTCCACTTCGTGCCACCATCCTCACCCCTGCACCCAGCCCTATGCCTGCTGGATGGAGTACATGTGGGAGAGTGTTGGGAGAAGGGTGCGCAGAGGCCCAGGGGCACCGCCCACTAAAGGGAAGAGAAGCTCTTACACACTACCTTAACTGGCCAGCGCCTGTTTTCAGAAACTTACCACCCTTTCAGAGAAGGGAAGCTGGGACCTAAACAGGTCCTGGAACAATGAGGATGTCCATTCCAGGGAGATACACCCTGGAACATAAGGATTAATCATTGGCCACAGAATGCATTCAGGAAGGTCACTCATCCTGGGTCCTGCAGGCCCAGGAGAGGACATGGGACCTCAGGATGCTGGGGTCACCATGGCTGCCACGTGG